AATTTTATAATCATGTTACGTTTGAATTCTACCTCTCACCAAGCCTCCAAAAAAGGCAATGTTGATGTTGATTTGGGATCTCTTACGAAAATTTTCGATTGTCTTAAACGGGAATTTCTTGTTTGTTTACAAAGAAAACTACATTTCTAGTTTCAAGAGCTATTTATGTTGAATATGTTACGTCAATACCTTTTGGCCCGCATAAGCGATGTATTAGACTTTCAAACGGACTATTGACGACTTTTATCGACCGATGTTGTATTGTTTTTAATAATATTAACAACTTTGTGAATGCTTTTTCTACATTCGTTCAATATCATTTTAATTTCCTTCATTTTTAACAATGGATTTCAGTAGTGCAATTGCAATACTTGTTACAGGTTCTTTACAATTATACAATCCAAATTATATATAATACATTAAATGTCATTGTTAAAATTAATATTACTTTCCTTTTGGATGCGCAGTATAGTCTAATTGTATAGAAACTGTTGTGCAGCAGAAAATATTTTACTTGGGACTTAAACTTTTGTATTGAATTTAATCGTTTAATGTCATCTTGCAATGTGTTGTAAAATAATGTACATGTATTATATGTGAATTTTTTGTAGTGAGCTGTTGATACTGTCACTTGATGAATATGATTCCTACGACGAGTGTTGTAGTTATAGACAACGGCGTTTGCTGAAAATATATTCCCGCCCTTAAGTAAGTCATTTTTGACAAAAACCACTGATTCATATACGACGAGACAAGGTAACGGTAAAAAACCTAAATGAATAAAGAGAGGCTTATGAGAATCACGTGGGTGGGATTTGCTTATTACTCGTACAACTCGTTTTTGTAATCTAAAAGTCTGAGAGCTATAAGATGTATTTCTCCAGAATATTATGCCGTATCTCAGGACGAAGTAATTAATATATGTCCCAACCTCACATAATTAATATTTTTGTTATTTAATATATTTATTTATTGAACGTCTAAAGCAGTTAAAACTATGGATGACGTACAATGGGGTTTTGATTCTTACCGTGTCCGCGAAAGAATCGACTCTCTGGGGCGACAGCACGGAGTAAAAAATAAATCTTAAACCATGAGCGTCAGCGGAGAGAACGATTTACTACATACGTCTACGAGCTCAAGACAAAGTGCACAAATAGAGAACCTACAAGTTTGTCCAGAAGCAAAGAAAGGAGCCATCTCACAATTTGCTCAAAGGTTCAGGAAAATTTAGGGTTGCCAGAAATGTTTTCAGAAAATAGTGAACGAGGGGAAGGAGTTTTGAGTAATAATGATATATTTTCTTTATCATTTAAAACTCAGCCAAGTGTGAAGTTGTGCTTTTCACTTGCATAAAATTAAATCAATATTTTATACATTAGTTCAAATCTTCATATAAAATTCTCTGTGTGCTTTAGAGCCAGCACTCATGAGTTCATTAAAGAAGTATATGCATGAAAGACATTTATAAAACACGCTTTTAGCTTACACTTGTAGTGCTGTGCACTTGAACTAAGACATACGTATTACGAATAGTTATCAAACTAAGTCGACAACTATGGACCTGCACAACAGTCAGGACTGGCATCAGAGTAAAGTCAGCTGTAATCCAGATTAAAAACTTGCCGTAATAAATACTAAAATCTCTGCTAACATACAATAAGTTGTTTTTGTTATTGAATAAGATCATTTTAGATGTTCAATATTTCTATTTTTAATTAGTGAATCAGAAATAGAAATAGTGAACAGTTCACACAAATAGTGAACATCTGACAACCCTAGGAAAAGTAAACGGAAAACCCTAGGGGAAAAACCTGATCGAGATGGGAATCGTTGTCCCAAAAGTCGAGGTACTCGAACAATTCTTGTTACAGGCATATTTGGTCTTTTAGAATTATACAGTACGAATTATGGATTAAATATCAATATTAAAATCAAATTTACTTTTTGATGCTCAGTATAATCACTAATTGAATAGAAACAGTTATGCTACAAAAAATATCATTTTACACTGTAGTTTGCTGAGAATGGGACTTCATAGCATATCGAAACGTTGTACAATAATAATGTAGTAAATAATAAATGCACAAGTGATTAAGTCTGCACTACTGAAATTGATTGTTTAAAATTACAAGGAATCAAAATGATATTGAACAAATATTTTTTGTATGCTATCATTATGATTGGCCTTTAGCAATGCTATAAATCGTCCACAAAATCGTGCTTCATAGTGCAGATAATTGGGTTATCGCCGATCTAGTTCAAATGACATCACTGCTGCCCTATTTGTCATTCGCGTTTGTACTATTGAAGACAATGATAACATAGTGAGAAAAAATTGCAGTAGTAGTATTAAAACACTACTCGTATTATATTAAAATAGAGAAATGAAATATTACGTCAAATTTCTCAGAAACGTATTGTTGTTTGTAATTTAGTATATGCAAATGTACTGTTCAGAACATTGGAAAGTAAACATGTTGAAGAATATGAATAAAATATATTCTCAATTAAAAAACGCTGTTAGAAACATTGGTAGAACATTTCAAATGATTAACCAACCTGCACACGCTATACATCGGCTTCGCAGATATTAACATTTTTACTTTTCATTTAATTGAAACATATTTGGATTTATGTAACATGTAAACCACACTGATTTTGTATAAAGACAAGAGGATTTTCGTGCGATATTTTGAAGAATTGTTTGTGTGTCATCTCATAAAGAATAATAGAGTTTGTTCGCTGACTGTATGAAATCCTGACTGTAGAATTTGACACCTATCTATGCAGTTCTTTCGTATTGCAATGCACTTCCTGTGACATGGCAGCATTTATCTGCTAGCGGGGACGTGGTCCCCGAGATACACACAACTTCTAAGAACAATTGAAAACTAGAGATGTTACAAGATCATATATTTTTCGCAATAGTTTTGTCGTTATGTAATATTATAATGTTAAAATTTCTACCTTTCTTACACTTCAAATACCTTGTAAATAAACGAAGCGTGTTCAAAATTTTGAAAATATATTTCTACCATTCATTTCAGTGTGTTTACGAATCCGATGCATATTTTAGCTTTAAAATATCAACGGTCTACTTGCAAAACCCCGTAAGAAAATTGGTGAAAATAGAGTTTGGGTACCGTTGGATTTGCACACACTGTCTGTCTGTCTGGCACACACAGTGTGGCTGTCTGGTACACACTGTGTGGCCCTCAGATGGCAAATCCACATTGTAGTGCTCCGTAACGGCGATTGAAAGTTCTCGATGTGTCACAGGCTGGAAGAGTCGCAAATCAGTTTTCTGTCTCTCATGAAAAAGTACTGAAAACTGACATACGAGGTTTTGCAAGTAGACATTCAATAGACTGCGTAAGCAGTATGTGAGAAAGTCAAAAAATGGAAATTAATAATACAGTCCACCGCAGCTGTGATGGCGGCTACCGCTGCAGCCCATTGTTGCCAACACCACGTTATTAAAAAAACTGTAGCCCGCTAGTATGCATATAGTGGGCATATAGTTAAAGAGCGATTTTTATAAGAATGGGACGTTTTGACAGCTAGTGCTGGCAACACAACTGAAGGTTATGTGGTCTTTGTATCCTTGACCCTAATAGATTCTCCGTCCTCCATTCGTTCGTTTGCAGTTGGCTAAGTTGTAAATGACTTCGATTCTTCTTTTTCTGATGTCTTCGTCAAACGGAAACATAGTTTGCCATGAGAAATAATTGGAATTAGGAAGTACAGAGCTATGTGCTCTTCTGTAAAAAATATTTTTTATAAACATTACATTGAATTTAGTTTTTACATGATAATTGTTTTATGTTTGTTTTAAAGTCGAGTCGTGCATGTGAGATGTGTGCTGGTGATGATGCACGTTTCTGCGGCTTCTGCGTTGTAACGTGGCGAGCTGTGTTCGAGACCGTTTCGTGGTCCCGTGCTTTGCTTTTTATATATATTTTTTTTATAATTGTTACACGATTGTGAAAACTAAGCGAAACTTTTAGACTTCTGTTTAGTGATGTCTTCGCGTGAACCGTAAACAAATAAGCGAAGGGGCGTAACTAAACAGCTGACGCGGCGGAGGGATACTTCTCTGAAGTACACGTGATATTCTCTTGTTTAGCGAACTGTCACTTTGGCACTTTCTCATAAAAATCGCTATGTAGGGATACTAGTGGGCTAAGAAACTACAACGGTAGATTTGTTTGGTATATACATTTGACAATCCAGCATCCTTGAATGCGCTGGCAAGCAAATGGAAATGTTACGAAAAATTTATAATAGTAATTATTAAATACTATAATATTTTAATATTCCTCAAATCCACTCGTTTTAAGACGAATTAAACGTTACTCTCCTAGTCTTCAATGAAATGGTACATACTTGATACGTGTTCCTACGTAAGAAAATTCAAAAGTCGCGAGAAATACACATGTTTCAAATGGTTACGTAATATTATAATACATCAATTTCCGTCCACATTAACTCACCTCAGTCATCACTTGCAAAAACCATTAAAAAACAAAGAACAAACGCTTGTTCTCATCTGTGTTCAGTATTCAACTTGTAGTATACGGATTAGGATAGGGATCCCATACTTTACGAAAACGAGCACGGAATACATTCCAATACGAAAAAGAATTTCAAAAGCGGTTCCACACATTCACTTGAGTCTCGGGGGAGCAAAAGGCAGAGCCACGAGTGTAAACGAGGATGGCGAGCGGACGTTACACGCAAAATGATGTAATAGGTGTGTTGGCATAAAATGCGATGAAAATGTATTATGCATTGGGAAAACCCCGCTAGTCGACGGTAGATCTTGCCATACAGCGGCGGACGACCACAGCCATTTCTCGAGATATATATATATATATATATATATATATATATATATATATAGAGAGAGAGAGAGAGAGAGAACGTGCACTACACTTACGGGACCAACGATCTGAGTAATTGACGAATCACTAACAACGCATGCATCCCGCGTGTAGGGAGGCAGAAGAAGCTGTTTACGCCTGGCCCCCTGAGCTGCACCATGGCGGTGAAGCAGGCCATGCTGCACGACTACGGGTCACGTGACGCGGAGTTCATCGACATCGTCAAGGACGTCCGTCAGCGCCTGCTCGACATCGCAGGTAGGGTCAAGGTTTTTTCCCCACGCTTTCGCTACGGAATGTCCCCAAATTACCAGTCCAGTGAAACACATTTTTCCCCAACTTTGAAGCGAAAAATATTCTCTAATTTATGGACCAACATGAACGGTTTCTGACGATTCCTTTGGCTGTCGCCTTAAATCCAAACAATTCGATTCAACTAACCATCGTCCTTTGATCATTCGTTGAAAACCCTGATTTTTCGAAAATTACAAAAGTTCATTTTTTTCCGTATTTTTTCTACATCTACAATTTGGAAGATAGAGATTTTTCCCTTAATGAAATCTGTTCTTTAAATATAGATTTCAAAATAAGGCAGAACGTTTCGAAAGTTTGAGTATTTCTCGCGTAATTTAGCGTAAAAATACCGGCGAGAAAGTATGTGCTGTTTTAGCACCACTTATTTAGAATTCTGTTCATGCTTTAAAAGTTTGTTCCATTTATCCTGAGACCTCTGTATGGGAATTCCCACCACTTGCAAAACGGGATACTTTTTGACCCCTGTACACGCTCTAGAAGTTTGTAACATTTGTCCTGAGACCCCTATATGGGAATTCCCATCACTTGCAAAACGGGATACTCTTTGACCCCTTACACGCTCTAGAAGTTTGTTACATTTGTCCTGAGGCTGCGTGTAAATGTGTGCGTGTTGCAGGCGCCTCTCCCGTGGAGTGGAGCATCGTGCCCCTGCAGGGGAGCGGCACCTACTGTGTGGAGGCGGCAATCCACACCGCCGTGCCGAGGGACAAGGACGCGAGGGTAATCCAACGCTCCACCACTCACACCTTCACACGAAGCAAGGCGTTGCACAACTACTGCGAGGCACACGGTGATAAAACAGTGCGCGTATCGGACTGTTATATCCAAGTGGGCGGGTATCAAAGCCCGACGAAAGCGGTGGATTTTTAAAAGCGAGAAGTTTGTTCGTATGCGAGCTTTCAAAGGGGAAGTAAAGCATGCTGATCTATGTTGTAGATTTGCTGCATGCAAAAGATCTTGAAACCTTAAAGAAACCCCTGATCACTTGTTTCGTCGTCTGTGTGGTACCTTCTTTCTTCGCTTGGTAAAAGGAGTAGTGAAGTTTGCGTGGTCAGATGCAAGAGACGTAATGGATTGAGTCTGGCCAAGTAAAATGAGGCATCTTTGAGTTACATTGAATTATATATACAGTCCGGTGTAGAAACGACAGAAATTGGGACATAAGCCCTTACGACACTTTTAAGCAATTTGTTTTAGTGAGTCATTGTAAATTCATGAAACATTTACTAACACAAAAAATACGAAAATGGGGGAAATGCTTGAAAATGACAAACGATTCGCAATTGTAAACAAAGACCAAAAAATTAAAAATGGGGAAAAAATGACCCAACATACTATACATTTCTATCACGTATATGTCGTGATAAACATTAATTTACAAGTTAGCTATGTCTACAATGCAGCAATGAAAAGATGAGACTGGCATCAGAATCCGAGCCCTGCTAATGGTTTTCGTTTCCAGGTTTTGGTTCTAAGCAACGGAGCGTATGGCCGTCGCCTGGCCAAGATCTGTGCAGCCGCCGACCTCTCCCACGATGTCCTGGAATTCGGAGAAGCCCAACCATACGACCTTGCGAAGGTATTCAAAATAATAAATGAATCTTATTTTTCTCAGAGGAGCGATCTGCAGTATGAAACACATATATAATGCTTTTATCACTTATTTAAGCTGAATTCAATCAACCTAATTTAAAATTCTGATTTCGAATAAGAAATTTGGTCAAATAATGAAAGAAAATACAGAGAAACCTGACCACCTCCACTGTAAATGTCTACTGTCTATTGTAAATGACAAAATACAATTGAAAGGACGTATTAAAGTGCCTTTGCTGCCTCCAAGCTGCTATCAAAACGTACCATCGACTTGTCACACATTCCCTTAGTCGAAAAACTCACTTTCTGTCGTCGCCGAAACAAACAAGCAAACTAAACTTGAAGATACGATTCACATTCTTTAGAGACTTTACAGCAGGACCGTCTGGCGAAGGGGTTTTACATCAATTTTTTACTTCCTCGCTACGGGATAGAGAGAAAGTTAAGTAATGCTGCACGAAAAAACTTCGAATATTCAGCAGAATAACGTGTATTGCAGAGCGCTGGCCCTGGCTTGTTGCTAAATTTAGGAAAACAAATTCTCTAAGGCAAAACGTCTGGCCATATGTCTGGCCGTCTATGAACAACGCTAGCGGCTAAACCGTTCGGACGATTTTCTCCAAAATTTATATTGCCCAATCTGGCTGATGAATTTGAAATTTATATTTTTACCATGGCGCCTTTTTTTCATGAAGCACCTGAGCCATTTTCAAAATTTAAAAAAAATGGTTCCATTGTTTTTGATTACATTTTATTGTTGGATAGTATGAAGGGCGTTTAAGAGAATGGTGTAGGTCTCATATCAATTCAAAACAGCGTTTTTCCACAATTAAAAGAATAAAGGTAAAGATTTTTCTTTTAATGAAATGTTCCTTAAAGAACGATTCTGAAATAAGATCAAGTAGAATGTTTTAAAAATTTGAGTACTTTTCTCGTAATTTTCTCGTAAGAGAAAGTTCGGGTGAGAAAGTACAAGTTCTTTTACCACCACTAGTTTTAAAGTGGCCACTGATATTAAGCCATTGTTACACCTCCTACCATGAATCTTTGTAATTAATTCGCAAACGTCTTTCTCAACGGGACCAAAATTGTGCTACTCACTGTTAAAACATCATTTTATAAGGCAAGAGGTGTAAAAATAACTTAATGTCGTCGGCTTTTTTAAAAACTCAAAGTATAGCGAATGAGCTTTAGGATTGCGGATTGAGGATGGCAAAATTCTCCGCGTGCTCTTAACAGATTTTCACAGAAGCAACTGGAGATGGTAAAACAGCACATACTTTCTCGCCCTTAGTAATGGTTACACAACATTATTTACACAGCAATTTCTGACTGAATTAACAGAGTCATTCTTTTTTGTAAAACTCGTTACAAGTAGTAGAACATTAGGAGCGAAAACCAAATATTTTTAAGCCAATATCAACACGAATTCGACCATTAAAACAGTTTCATCCAGCTAAATCAAGTCCCTTCAATGATACATAATTCACAGAACTTCAGTTACCGTCTCGCGGGACGGAATGCAATTTTCACATTCCAATCTGATATTTCCTGCGGGCTTGTAAATGGAGCACGGGAAATTCGAATTTGCAAAAATGCGCAATTCTGCCGAAATTTAAAAAAATTAAAAAACAACATTTTTAGAATAGAATTTATGTAACATAAAATTGAAATTGTACTTTGGAATATTTTATATATTTGTAATTTTTTGTAGTGTATGTGATTTGGTGTAACTAAGGGGTGAGAGGACAAAGAAGGGGAAGGAAAAATCGCGTATCGTCTGTGGTCCGTTTGTTAGGATACTGCTCCAGCATTCCCCTGGTGTTGATGGGAGAAGCAACGAAAAACTACTGATCAGAGCAGCCGGTCGCTAGAATTCTCCTCCAGACAGCGACTGAATTTGACCTGGCTGTGTAGCTAGTATTGAAAACCGTCGGGAATAGAAGAACCCTGGGGCCACCCGATCAGAGGTAGTGACACCAATTGATTTCCTAAGCCCCATCAGCAAGTAATACGGTATATAGGAAGTGTTGGGCAATAGGTTGACCTCTTCACGAACTTATTTTCACTTGGGACCTACGGATTACACACATACACAGAAATTGTGTTAATGTTTTCTATATGTTTTGGGGGTCGCTAAATCCGAGACCGGAGTCCATTTTCTCCATCACATCAGGTTTTTGACATAACTTCAAAAAATCTAAAAAATTAAAGACATTTGTAACCGAGGGGTAAGACCATGTTACCCATATGTCCCCGAAACCGAATCTGAAGTCGATTAAACTTAATCACATCAGACTTTTTATATAATCTCAAAAAAATTTTAACTAGTGGTGCAACAGAATGGCACATGCTTTCCCGTATTATTTTTAATTTCTTTTGGTCACTTTTGGACGGACGGACAGCTAGACGTACGGACCGAAAACGTTTTAAAAAAACACACACTTTTTCGGTATTAGTGGACCTCAAAACGTGTAATTCCGTTGAAATCTGGAAATCGATTTTCCGCAGCATTACATAACTTTCCATATAGTATGTATTTTCACTAAAATTTCTGTATATACATACGTATACGGGAACATAAAAACCGTGTGAGCTTTTATCTGGTGCCAACGATGTAGGCAAAATACCATACAACAACGCAACGTGTGTTGTCCCGTCAGGGACCAGTGCTACCTTTTCTATAAATTATAATTGATCTGATTTGAAAAATACATATTACAATACATATTTATATATTATACATATTTAAAAGCATGTAATTTTGATAATGATTGAAAAATCGAGTCCCCAATAAAAACAATTTACAATACAAATTAATAATTAAATCAGCATTAATTAATTCAGGTCCAAAATATGCGAGTCCAAGTTTAGGGAATAAATTATAACTATAATTACATAAACTTTTTTTCTGGGTTATTGAAAACCTTACGCGGAGGTTCCTTGGCGACAACATTGTTAGTAGATGAAAACGGCCGATTCTGGAACACCAAGATGGCGGCCATGACGTCACACATCTGTGTTCCAGAATCGGCCGTCTGTTATCTACCGACTGTGGTCACCGGATGTAAACAAAACCATCCGATGTCAATAAAAATATCTGATGTGTATATTTGAGGTCCACATCCAGCTCTGAAATGTCCTAATATCGATATCTCTGCTCGCAAATGAATCGGCTGGCGTAACCGCAGGTGGAGCGGCAGCTGTCGAGCCGGGCTTACGCGTGCGTGGCGGCGGTGCACTGCGAGACGAGCTGCGGCCTGCTCAACCCGGTGGATGCGCTGGCGTCGTCGCTGCGCGCGCGCCAGCCCGGCGCGGCCTTCGTGGTGGACGCCATGAGCTCGTTCGGCGCGCTGCCCGTGCGCCTCGACCGCGTGCACTTCCTCGTCGCGTCCGCCAACAAGTGCGTGCAGGGCGTGCCCGGCTTCGGCTTCGTGCTCGCGCGCACGCACCGCCTCGCGCAGTGCGCAGGTGCGGAACAGCACGCGAGCGCCCACGCGCAGCGCACGCACCCTTCAGCCATGCAATGGAACAGGTCACGCCCCCTTCAAGCACTCAATGGAATAGGTCTCGATCCCCTTCAAGCACTCAATGGCATAGGGCTCGATCCCCTTCAATCACTCAATGGGAGAGTCCCACACACACTCCTGTTCAGCCCTTCAATGCAGCAGGACACGCCCCCTTCA